AGGAGGAACGCAAAGAATGCTTGTTTCCTCACAGGCTCCGAGTCACCTTCTCCACCCAGATGCATATTCAGGCCACCCTGATGAAATGGGAAGGCACCCGGTGTGCATCACTGCTAATGTCACAGCTCAGCAAGACCTACCGGCTCATCAGGCCCACGGCTTCCAGATCAGGGGACGATAAAAGGTTTGGGAATCCACTTAGAGCTCTCAGCCTGTTTCTCCCCACCAAAGACATTCTGTTTAAGATTTTCCTCTAGGAACTTGCCCAGCAATCCAGTGGTTAGGACTCTGTGCTTCCACTGCAGGGGGCACAGGTTCAGTCCCGGGTCAGGGAACTAAGATCCCGCAGGCCACCTTGCCATGCGGTGAGGTCAAAATAAAACCAAAGCAAAAAAAAAAAAAAACAACTTTCATCTAGATTTACCCCCATTTCCTAAAAGAAAAAAGCATTTATATAAATAGGAGGGATTTAACCTCAGACTGATGCTGAAGCTGAAACTCCAACACTCTGGCCACCTGAGGCGAAGAACTGACTCACTGGAAAAGACCCTGATGCTGGGAAAGATTGAAGGTGGGAGGAGAAGGGAACAACAGAGGATGACATGGTTGGATGGCATAACCGACTCGATGGACATGAATTTGAGTAAACTCCAGGAGTTGGTGATGGTCAGGGAGGCCTGGCGTGCTGCAGTCCATGGGGTCTCAGAGTTGGGCACGACTGAGTGAATGAACTGAACTGAACTGAACCTCAGAATAGGGAAAATAAGAAAAAAGAGTTGTCAACTGCACACTGCTGTTTCCAAAATAATTTTGGAACAAAGTATCTTAAAAGTTTGTTTGAAATAGTCAGAATGGCCATCATCAAAAAACCTAAAAACAAGAAATGCTGGAGAGAGTGTGGAGAAAAGGGAAAGAAAAGGGAGAAAAGAAAAACCCTCTTGCACTTTTGGTGGGAATGTGAATCAATATAGCCACTATGGAACACAGTATGGAAATTCCTTTAAAAATTAGGAATGAAACTATCATATGACCCAAGAATCCCACTACTGGGCACATACGCTGAGAAAACCATAATTGAAAAGGATACATGCACCCCAGTGTTCACTGCAGCACTATTTACAATAACTAGAACGTGTAAGCAACCTAGATGTCCATTGACAGATGAATGGATAAAGAAGTTGTGGTACATGTACACAATAGAATATTATTCACCATAAAAAAGAACGCATTTGAGTCAGTTCTAATGAGGTGGATGAACCTAAAGCCTATAATACAGCGTGAAGTAAGTCACAAAGAGAAAAACAAGTTTTGAATATTAATGCTTATATATAGAATCTAGAAAGATGGTACTGATGAACCTATTTCCAGGGCCTCAGGGGAGATACAGACATAGCGAGCAGACATGTGGACACAGTGGAGGAAGGAGAGGAGAGGGTGGGATGAATAGAGTAGCATTGAAATTTACACGTTCAGTTCAGTTCAGACGCTCAGTCGTGTCCAACTCTTTGCGACCCCATGGGCTGCAGCACCCCAGACCTCCCTGTCCGTCACCAACTCCCAGAGTCCACCCAAACCCATGTCCATCGAGTGGATGATGCCATCCAACCATCTAATCCTCTGTCGTCCCCTTCTCCTCCTGCCCTCGATCTTTCCCAGCATCAAGGAGTTTTCCAATGAGTCAGCTCTTTGCATCAGGTGGCCAAAGTATATGTAAAATAGACAGCCAGTGGGCATCTGCTTTATGACTCAGGGAGCTCAAACTTGTGCTCTGTGACGAACCTAGAGGGGTGGGATGGGGTGGCGGGAGGCTGAACCGGGAGGGGACATGTGTATCCCTGTGGCTGATTCATGTTGATATATGGCAGAAACCAACACAACATTGTAAAGCAATTATCCTTCAATTAAAAGTTAAAAACAAAAAGTTTCTTTGAAACAACCCAAGTAGTCACTGCCAGATGAATGGGTAAACACAATGTGCCATAGCCATACCATGAACTATCCCGTCAAAACCCTGATATACATGAAGACGTGTGCCAGTGTGCTTAGTCGTGTCTGACTTTTTGTGACCCCGTGAACTGTAGCCACCCAGGCTCCTCTGTCCATGGGCCTCTCCAGGCAGGAGCACTGGAGCGGGGTGCCACGCCCACCTCCAGGGGGTCTTCCCGACCCAGGGATCGAACCCCAGTCTCCCGCACTGCAGACGCATTCTTTACCGTCTGAGCCACCGGAGGAGCCCTCAGAAGAAGGGGCTAATGGTCAGTGAAAGAGGTCAGACACCCAGGGCCACATCCCGCAGGACTCCATTTATCAGCAGCGTCCGAAGTAGGCAAATAGACAGAAACAAAAAGTAGATGGATGGTTGCCAGGGGCTGGGGGAGAAAGGAATGGGGAGTGGCTGCTAATGGGTACAAGGTTTCTCCTGAGGGTGAGGAAAAGGTTCCAGAATTATTAATAGATCTTCATGAAAGCTCAGTCATGTCCCACTCTTTGCGACCCCATGGACTGTAAACGTGCAGCTTAAAGGAGTAAATGTAGGAAAAGGAGTTTGTGAATGTACTGAGATGACCCCCGTGAGTTATTCTGTGGTCCTCCGGGCCAGGGGACCCACTCCAGTGTTCCTGGGCTCCCCTGGTGGCTGAGCTGGTAAAGAAACTGCCTGCAACGTGGGAGACCAGGGTTTCATCCCTGGGTTGGGAAGATCCCCTGGAGAAGGGAAAGGCTACCCACTCCAGTATTCTGGCCTGGAGAATTCCATGGACAGTCCATGGGGTAGCAAAGGGTCGGGCACGACTGAGCAGCTTTCATTTTCATCACTTTTTCCAACACACAGAAACCTTCTTCAATTGACCACATCTTGAGTCGTTCTGCTGTGTGGATTTGTAACTGTGACAAATCCACTTTCACAGAGATGACTTTATCGAAAGAGAAGTGAGGGAACTTCCCTGGCAGTCCAGCGGTTAAGATGCCGAGCTTCCAATGCAGGAGACGTGGGTTTGATCCCTGGTCAGGGAACTAAGATCCCACATGCTGCATGATGTGACCAAATATACATATAAGAAGTGAGAGAGCTCACTTGTCCACTGAAAGCAGAATATTCTGAGCTGTCAGGGATCAAGGACTGCTGGGGTGGGGTCGACCCAGGGTGTGTGGTCTGCCCTGACCTCGGGCGGAGGGCAGACGGGGTGGGCCAGGCGCCGACCACAGTGGCTGTGCACGCAGGTGGCTGTCCACGTCCAGATGTCTTCAGCGAGGCTGCCGGGCTGTGCTGGTGTGGGCCGTGTCGGCGCTGCTGTCCTGAGAGGCCGTTCTGCCTGCCCCTCCCGGATCCCCTGCGTCCCGCTCTGGCCAAGGAGCCTCTGTCCACGGTGCTGGTGGGAGTGGATTCCTGGGGTCCAGTGTGAACCGGAAGCTGCATGTCACACTGGGACCAGCGGGGAGCAGTCGGTTGTACCCGGCAGGAAACCCCAAGGAGAGGCTCTCTGAGGGGCAGGGCCCTGGCTGCTGTCTGGGGTATGGGAAGGACAGGGAGGGTGGGGGAGAGAATCCGCGTTGAAGCAGTGGTTCCAGGGAAACGTCCATCCTGCTGAAGATCCAGGTGCCCCAGGGGTGTGGTGGCTGCGGCCCCAGCAGCCGCAGGGGACAGGGTCCCAGGCATGGAGGTGTCCCCAGTCTGTCTCACCTCCCTGGCAGACCAGGAGCCCCTGGGTCCTGCCAGCCACTGTGTACACGAGGCTGAGTCGAGCATGGGGACGGACACGTGTAATCATGAGTGATGCTGAGTGCGTGTGACTGGGTGACTGCTGGGGGTGCACAAAGGGGTGTCTGTGGGGAAGGGGAGAGTGTACAGCTCGTCCAGGGCTGGGAACAGAGAGGGGAGGCCTGCTGGCGGGCTGCGGGGGCCCTTCTCCTCTCCAGCCGCTGCCCAGGCTTCTGCCGGCTCTGCAGGGCTGCCAACCCTCGGTGGCCAGGCGACTCGGTCCAGGCTGCCTCTCTCAAGATCGCCCCCTTCCCCACTGCCCTCCCGCCTCTCCCAGCATCCTCTGGGCTCTGCGTCCTCGTGTCTCTGTCTCCAGCTCCTTCTGTCTCTCCCCTCCCTCTGTCTGTCTCTCTCTGCCTCTCCCACTTAGCTCCCCTGGGAAGGAAGGGCTGGCTCAGGCCCCGCCGGGCTTTCCGGCAGACGCAAGCCTCGGAGCCTCCCCTCCCCTCCTGGTGCCTGGGGAGGTGTCTCTCCTCACGTCTGATGCGGCTGATTATCTGCATCAATTTTACGGGGCCTCAGTGTGTGCATTCAGGTGGACAGGCTGTGCCAGGTCGGGGACTGGTGGGATAATCACAGAGGGTGCCAGCAGCCAGCATGGCTGGCACCAGGGTGCCCGGGAGCAGGAATGCAGAGAGGAGCTGCCTGCTCTGGACACCCCCTTGAGCCTGTTCATGGAGCCCGGGGCGCCAGAGAGCCTAGACCATCCACCTGCAGGAATGGAGACTTGCCAACTGCTTGCAGCCACACCCAGTGCTGGGGGAGGACACCGCGGTCACTGCCCATCTCATGGATGGGAAGACTGAGGCCACACAGCTCAGTAAAAGCTCCGGCAGCCAGGACTTCCCTGCCCGTGGGTTGTCTGGGTGGTGGAGGGCCCTACTGGCCTGTCAAGTGAGAAGCAGCCCTGGGCGTGGGACCCTCCAAGGCCCAGCCCAAGGCTGCTGCTTTCTAAATGCCTTGCCTGACCCTTCCCCAAGCCCCCACCCCTGGTGCCTTCCTTCCGGCGGAGGGCACCAGCTCCCGCTGTCTGTCCGTGCCCCTGGCCCATGGCCTTCAGGGCGCAGCAGGGGGGCCTGCTCTCCCCCCCCACCCCGCCCCTCGGCAGCAGCTCAATGGTGCTGTTTGTGTAAGGGGTGACGACAGCGTCTTTTAGGTGAACCGCCTTGTAAACAGGGAGGGTTCACGCAGAGGTGACCGGTTGTGAGCGCGCTTCAGACGGGTGGGGGCGGCAGGGGTGGCGTCAGGAGGCCTGGGCAGTGGCCTGGGCTGGGAGCGGTCCCAGCGGGGGGCCCTGCCCTCCGGGGATGACCTTGGCCTTTCCTGGAGGCCGGCCACCCCGCGCCCCACCGGCAGAGCCTAGGGACGCACCACCCCCCCCCACCCCCTCCCCAGGAGGTGTTCCGAGGCAGAGGGGAAACTCAGGTTCAAAGAAGAAGTCCGTGCAGGTCCACAGCTTCTCAGGAGCCGCGGGGACCTGGAATCCAGCTGCGGCTGACCTCCCAGCGATGGGAGCCGCCTCCTTGTAGGCAGAGGAGCAGCCGCAACCAGGCTCCCCCGCGTGAAGACGAGCTGCCTCCCTGCAAGCCCACTGCAGAGCGGTGCGGGCCCGCGGGGCTGCACGCTGGGCCAGGTCCCCGCCGTGGGAGGGGGCGGACCCGGCCCCCCGCGAGGCTGGGCCGGCTTCCAGCGTGGGAACCGGCTCCCGCCCACGCTGCCGGCGCTCTTTCCGCCCCGGCCGGCCAGCCCCGGCTCCCTGGGTGGGCTGGACAGCGGGGTGGGAGTGACAGCCCCAGGGAGGCGGGAGGGCCCGGCGGGGCAGCCGGGGCCCACCCTCCCGGCCCGCCCCCTCCTCCCGCTCGGGCGGAGTGTGTCCCAGCCGAGCTCGCTGTGAAGCCGCCAGGGTCCGAACCGCTCTGACCTGTTTTCCTGGCAGCCGCCGGCAGGGCTGGGTCAGGCCAGCCCTGGGTGTCCTGCCACAGCAGAGGTGCCCAGCGGTCAGAGCCGCGGGCCTCTGCCCTCCCGGCCGGGGCGCACAGCCGCCCCTTCCGCGGCTGAGAGGTCTCCCATCCTGGTCTCTCTTGTCCAATTCCCCAGCCAGCTGTCATCAGGACCCTGCGGGAACATCACCGCCCCCAGGAATCTTCTGGACTGCCCCCAGACGGAATCCGTCTGGCCACTCAGCCCCTGCTGGACGGTCACTATGGGTTAGCCTCCCTCTCTGACCATCCTGGCTACAGCCGGTCTGACCGTGTCAGGGATTCTTTCTCCTAGGAGAGGGGGAAAAGTGAAAGAGAAAAAGTGAAGTGAAAGTGCTAGGCCCTCAGTCCTATCCTGCTCTTTTTCGCCCTCATGGACTGTAGCCGCCAGGCTCCTCTGTCCGTGGGGTCCCCAGGCAAGAATACTGGCGTGGGCTGCCCGTTTCCTTCTTTAAGGGATCTTCCCAGCCCAGGGGTGGAACCCCTGCCTCTTGTGTCTCCTGCATTGGCAGGTGGGTTCTTTACCGCAGGCGCCATCAGGCAGGTAGACATAGGTGCAAATCAGTGTCTCATTCTTTTGTGACCCCCATGAACTGTAGCCCACCAGGCTCCTCTGTCCATAGAATTCTCCAGGCAAGAATACTGAATCCGTTTGCCATCTTTTACTCCAGAGGGCCTTCCCAACCCAGGGATCAAGCCTGCATCTCGACTTCCCAGTGGTACCAGTGGTAAAGAATCTGCCTGCCAAAGTAGGAAACACAAGAAATGAGGCCACCAGGGGGACCTGTAAAATGGGTACCGTGGTGTCACCCTCCTTACATCCGTGAGGAGTACTCCAACCGTGCCTGGTCCACGGTAAGTCTGATGCTTGCTGATTAAAGGAAATTGAGCTTCTGAGGGGTCAGCTGAGCTGCTGGGAAGAACAGGGCACCCTGACCCCTCGCAGCAGAGGCTGTTGGATTTGGGCGGTGTGGTGGCAGCCAGGCCTCCTCCCATCTTGAAGTGACCACTGTGTCCCCTCACTGGACATCTCCAGAGCGCCCTCTCACTGCCTGACCCACACAAGTCTGGAATCCCCATGCCTCACATGTCCCGATTTAAAGTGACCCCCCCAGGGCTTCCTTGCAATGTCGGAGACCTGGGTTCAATCCTTGGGTCAGGGAGCTCCCTGCAGAAGGGAATTGCAGCCCATTCTGGTATTCTTGGCTGGGAAACCCCATGGACAGAGGGGGCTGCAGTCCATGGGGTCACAAAGAGTCAGACACAACTTAGTCACTTAACAACAAACCAATGAAGCCCATTTTATAGATGCGGGAACTGGGGGCGCAGAGAGGTAAGGAAGCCTCCTCAAAGTCACCCTGCTGGTTTGGCAGAACTGGGGTGGCAACAGGCCATCTGGTGCCAAGTCCATGTACTGCTGCCCGGCTCTTTCACCAAGCCCTTTGCTCATCACCGAGGACCAACTCAGCCTGGAATCAGAACCCAGAGCAGGGAGGGCTGGCGTGGGGCCTGGAGCAGTGGTGTCGAAGCTGACAATCCGGCCTCCATGATCCAGCGTCCTGCTGGCTGTGTGGCTCTAGGCAAGTTGCTTAACCTCTCTGGGCCTCAGCTGTCTGCATTCTAGAGTAAGGAGGCGATACCATGCATTCGGCTTGTACGGAGCACCTCTTCTGTGCCAAGCCCTGTTCCAGCACCGGGAACACAGGTGGGATGAGGGCAGGCCTGCCTCCTGAAGAGGTGGGGAGGACCACCTGGACAAGTCCGTCCACCCCAGCCAGGACACACACTCGGAGGGGTGCGGCCCTGTTTAACGCTCCACAGAAGTGGATGTGCTCAGTCGTGTCCGACCCTTTGCAACCGCATGGACTGTAGCCCACCAGGCTCCTCTGTCCGTGGGATTCTCCAGGCAAGAATGGGTAGCCATTCTCTTCTCCAGGGGATCGTCCCCACCCAGAGATGGAACCCGCGTCTCTGGTGTCTCCTGCATCACAGGCGGATTCTTCACCATGGACACCGAGACTCCTCAGGGCCCTGCTGATTGTGCCCGAGGACAGAGGATTTGGGAAGTGCGCCCCAGGGGGAGGGGGACTGCAGCTGGGAGGCGGCGCGGAGGCAGAGGAAGGCGGCTGGACAGTGGGCAGCACAGGGCAGTCCAGGGCCGAGGTGCCCTCCTCGGGAGGCTGTGCCGGGAGCCCTGGGGTGAGCGTGGCCTCACGGCAACCCTGGGCAGGAGGGGGAGGAGGCGACAAATGCAGTCAGGCCGGCAACCCCTGGACATATCGCTCTTTGCAGGAACCCCGAGCTGACAGCTGCCCCAGGAGCTCCCGGGCCTGTCAGCCAGTCAAACCCACCTGGCTGCACGGGTCCAAAGCAGAAACACCCGTGAGTCCCAGCTAAGAACTTCTGTCCTTTGCTTTTAGAATCACCTTCTCTCTGAATACAAAATTGATACACTGGGGACGTCCCTGGTGCTCCCATGAGCGGTGGAGGCTCCACGTTCCCAATGCAGGCGACCTGAGTTTCATCCCTGATCAGGGAACTAGATCCCACGTGCCACAGCTGAAGATCCCACATGCTGCAACGGAGATCGAAGATCCCGAGTGCCAGAACGAGGACCTGGCATGGCCCACTAAATCAATAAAAATAAATATTTTGTAAAAAGCATTCCCGTGGTGGCTCAGCAGTAAAGAATCCACCTACAAGACAGGAGACACAGGGGAATCAGGTTCAGTCTCGAGGTGGGATCCTCCAGACCCCCTGGAGAAGCAAATGGCGACTGACTCCAGTGTTCATGCCTGGAGAATTCCAAGGACCGAGGAGCTTGGCAGGCTACAGTTCATAGGGTCACAGTCAGACACAACTGAGCATGCACACACACATTAAAAAAAAGGCGGGGGGGGGAGATACTTGTTTGATGTCAAACTTCAGTTGGAAAAGCTAGAAAGACACCAAACTTATCCGAAAAAATCATGTACTCACTTGATCCGGCCTCTAGTGACAAACCATATGAATATGTGGTCGGTCAGCCCACCCTGGGCATTTCTGTATGATTTTCAACATCGTTGGGATCAAGCTGTACCTGGAATTTTGTGTTCAGCTCTTCTCACATAACATAGAACATGCTAGCATCTAAAATCATTACAGCTTCTTCCCAATCACAAAACTGCAATCTGCTCATGGCAAAAACAAACAGATCAAGCACTGTCAGAGATGTGGAGCAGAGAAAGTCCGTGGAAGAGAGAAAGTGAAAGTGCCCCCACAGTCTCCGGCCAGGAGGCGACTCCCTGGAAAGTCAGAACGGATAGCTGTGTAAACTGCCCCCACCAGTGTAGACCAGCAGTGGCTTCAGGATCAGGGCGGCTGGGTTCAGACCCCTCTGCCACAGGCAGCTGGTTACTGACCCCTCTGGGCACACTGTTTTGTAAAGTGGAATTGATCAGAGAGACCCACCCCATAAGGTTGCTGGAGGGATTAACGAATGAATGAAAAATGTTTCCATAAATTACTGACAACAGGTAAGTGCTTAGAAGAGTACACAGTAAGTGCTCAATCAATGTCAGTTTGTGCAGCAAACACCCAACAGAAGCTGCATGTCACGGCCTGCCAGGTAATAACTTTACATCCGTAACTCATTTTATTTTCCCAGAACCCCCACACAGTAGATACATTAAAAAAAACTTTTTTTTAATTGAAGTATAGTTGCTGTAGAATATTATATAAGTTTCAGGTGTGCAATGTAGTGATTCACAATTTTCAAACGTGATACTCCATTTATAGTTATTATAAAACACTGCCTACATTCCTTGTGTTGCACAATATACCGTGTAGCTTATAGCTTGCGTGTGTGTGTGTTAGTCGCCCAGTCGTGTCCGACTCTTTGCAACCCCATGGACTGTAGCCCGACAGGCTCCTCTGTCCATGGCATTCTCCAGGCAAGGATACTGTATAGTCATTTCCTGCTTCAGGGGCTTCCCGCGTAGCTCAGTCAGTAAAGAATCTGCCTGCAATGCAGGAAACCCTGGTTGCGATTCCTGGGTCAGGAAGATCCCCTGGAGAAGGAAATGGCAACCCACTCCAATATTCTTGCCTGGAGAATCCCATGGACAGAGGAGCCTGGTGGGCTACAGTCCATAGGGTTGCAAGAGTCAGACACGACTTAGCGACTAAACCACCACCACCATTTCCTTCTTCTGGGGATCTTCCCGACCTAGAGATTGAACTCTGGTCTCCTGTATTGCAGGCGGATTCTTTACCCTCTGAGCTATCAGTGAAGCCCCAGCTTATAGCTATTTTATACCTAATACTTTGTACCTCTTACCTCCATACCCCTATATGCCACCCCCCACCGCAGTGGGGAGAGGGACGGGGTGGGCTGGGTTCTTGTTACCTCAATGTTCCAGATGTAAGAACAGAGGCTGAGACAAGGCCATGTCATCGCAGCACCATCCACAGTCTCCAAAAGGTGGGAACAGCCCTACTGTCTGTAGACAGTGATGGTCTATTGGTACAGTGGAATGATATTCTTCCCTTATAAGGAATGAGCCACTGACACTCACTACGATGTGGATGACCTTTGAGAACATGAAGCTTAGTGAAAGAAGCCTGTCACAAAAGACCACGTATCGTGTGATTCCATTTATAGCATGCACTTGTGTTGTTTAGTCTCTAAGTCACGTCCAACTTTTGTGATCCCGTGGACTGTAGCCCACAAGGCTTCTCTGTCTGTGAGATTTCCCAGGCAACAATACTGGAGTGGGTTGCCATTTCCTTCTCCAGAGGATCCCCTGGGTCTCCTGCTTGGCAGGTAGATTCTTTGCCACCTTGGAAGCCCTGTGATTCCATTTATATGAAACAACCAGGAGAGGCAAAGCCACAGACACAGAACACAGACAGGGGCTGGGGGCGGGCGGTGCAAGGAGTGACTGCTCCACGGGCTCAAGTCTCCCTTGGGGCTGAAAATGTTCTGGAAGCAGATGGAGGGGCAGCTGCACATT